TAGTACTGAGGGAATCGTATTTTCTGTACGTGTCCTTTGTATTTATCTTTATATTTCAGACCAGTCACGATAGTGGAACTCTCTGGAAACGCTGTTTGGCCATCAAACTTTGTATCAGTTTCTAAAAAAGTATAGTTTTTAGAACAAGCACTTGTACCTAAACCTGCATGTAAACGAGACAGAAAGTATAAATAAAATAAGTGTATAAATATTTTCAAAAACTATAACAACTTTTAAAAAGATGAACTCGGCATATTTAAAAAAGCAGTAATAAATAATATTAAAGCATATTGGAGCTGCTATTAGAAAATACAATTATTATTATTATTATTACTTCATATTCAAACAACAGCAAAGAGGACTCTGAACTGTTAGGATTAGAGTTTTAATTCTTAAAATCGTTTTGGTTTTTTTTCCAGATGCAGTTCTTCATAAAGAAAAAATTACTTGTCAAGCCAAAATAACAGCATAATGAATTTAATATAAAAAAGAAAATTTACCTGGATGCCATCTGTTATACTCAAATTGAACATGTAAATTCTCTGGAAGCTCCATAGTCCTCAATTTATCTAAAGGTGTTCGACAGTCAACTGGTGTTGCATAAAATGTTAAAACTTCTTTCAGGGTACCGATTTGATGTAAAAGTGAATTTGGAATACTATGACCGAATTTCTGGGAGCAAGCTGTGAGCAATTGAAATTTCTGATTTAAATCGACAATTTCGGTGTTGAGATCGCTTTTGCCCAATACGTCTTTGAATATCTGTGTTAAACTGCTTTCCAAATCAGGCGGTGGAACATATTCGCGTTGAGCTCGAAGAAAACTGAAATAAAAAACATTATTATGTCGACATCTTTGAACAAAACAAAAACTATGATTAATTCATCCTGTGAATAATAATTATGCAATTAAAAAAAATCCTGTCGCTAATCACTGGTCGCAGGTAGATAAGAATCTACGCCCCACAAATACCAGCTTTTCATTTTCATCTTCATACTATACAGGGCTATACATTTTAAGCAAGAAGAAGGGTGGATAGTGGACATACATTAAAATTTAAAAACGTTAAAAAACGTAAATAAAATTTACGTTTTTTTTTTAATGGAACATTATATCAGTCCGAATTGGGTTTATTAGAAACAAAAGGCACTTAAAGTTTAAAATAAACAATAAAATAAAAAACAGACCTGTCCTCTAGTCTCATTTATCTGAAGGTATAAAAACATAGTGATTCCTTATTCTGATTTATTTTCCTGACTGCGTGTACTTGTTATGATATTCCTATCTTTCCTGGGTTTCAGTCAGTGTGAAGTAAAATTTTTTGAAACATCGTTCATTTCATTACGTTTTGGCGAGACAACAGCGCCATCATCAGATTTAAAATTTTACACAAACTACAAACACCAATTCACAATTAAAACATGTTGTATAAAATATATAATTTACAAAGTGTTAAAACATTAATAAGTTTTTGAGGGAAAAAAATGTCTTCCTACTGGGAGAGCAAAACATCGGAAAAAATTACATCATGATTGGTAAAAATTAACGCCCCTTTACGTCTTTGCCTTCTTGAAAAGCTTGAGTTTGTCTGAACTTGTCAAAATCAAAATTATGTAACATTTGGTGTGCATGTTGTGTTAATGCTGTTTTATTTTCACTAGTGTTTCTCAGACTGTATTTATGTTCGTACATTCTCTTTTTTAAATATTGTTTAGTTTGTCCTATATATGTATTATCACATTCTAAACAATCCCTTCTCGAAAAGCTTGAGTTTTTCTGAACTTGTCAAAATCAAAATTATGTAACATTTGGTGTGCATGTTGTGTTAATTCTGTTAATTTTTACCAATCATGAGGTAATTTTTTCCGATGCTTTGCTCTCCCACAAGGAAGAATTTTTTTTTCCTCAAAAACTGATGAATGTTTTAACACTTTGTAAATTATAAATTTTATACAACATTGTGAATTGGTGTTTGTAGTTTTTGTAAAATTTTAAATCTGATGATGGCGCTGTTGTCTCGCCGAAACGTAATGAAATAAACGATGTTTCAAAAAATTTTACTTCACACTTTGACTGAAACTCAGGAAAGATAGGAATATCATAGTGATTCCTCGTGCACCAATTTACCCAAAGTTCGAATTTTTTATAAAGATTATTAACTTGATTTTTTTTTAATGAAACGCCCCCTAAGGTTTATATCGGTTGCAAAGTCACATTTTTGCAGGAATTAGCGTCATTAAGTTCATTCAGTATGATATTTATTTTTTGTCGGTAACCATGAATCTGACTACTCACATTTTCTTAACCGTTCCTACACTAATAAAATGTTTGTTTTCCAGACAGTTTTAGAAGATCGAAGAATTATAAATTGAAAAAGTGCCACAAAAAAAGATTAAACAATTTAAATTAATTCCATTTTCTGATGGATTTCGTTGTTAGAATTTTGATTTACTCTACTGATGAACACGACAGAAAGTTTGTATATGTAATTATTGACCACTATTAATACCAATATCGCATTACAAATAATTCCAAAATTAATAAATTACAAAGAAAATCTCATTTCATTGAGGATTTCAAAATTACCCACGTCTTGGTTGCACGATCCTGTATACATTAGTTTTATAATAAGTACATGCACATTTTTTTAACTGTCCTTGCACAAGGAAAATTATTGTTTTTTTCAGAAAGCTTTAGAAGTTCGAAGAATTAGAAATTGAAAGTTTTATCTATCAGTTATTGACTTTATATTCGGTGCGAATCGAATATAAAGTCGAATCGTAAATGATCAAAAAAGAGGAGAACGTTTTGCCAAACAAAAAGAGAGCCGGCAACTTATAAAAAAAAACTATACTTCGCTTTTGATTCGCGTTTTTGTGATGGTTTTAGATGTTAGAAATTTGATTTGCTTTTACTAAGGAACACGGCACCAAGTTTGTAAATGTGCAGCTCTAAAAAACATTCTGCTAAGAGAAAATGTGCCAAAAAAAATGGATAAAAAGAAATTTTCGAATTTTTGCGCGCAGTATCAAAAATATTGACCAGTAGGTGGCGACCTCTGACGATGGATTTGACAACTAAATGGAAAGCAAAGCAACTGTAATGGCCTCCCGGTGCTAGTCGCAGTTGTCAAAAGGAAAGTAAAGTTAGTACACACCCTTTTGAAGCGATGAATTGAGCTGTAGGGTTTAATTTTGGAGTAGGTTTTCTGTCTAGGCCCTTTCTCTTCTCAGCTTTCGTGGCGTAACACTTAAGGATGTCCTAAAACCAAAATAACCAATGAACTAGTGACGAGTGAGGTAAAGAGAGTGAAATCAGTGTGTTGCTGTTAAATGGCTAGTGAATAGCACAGGAATATAAACACTGTGTGGTGGGAACTAGCCTAAAGTACTGTTGAAAAATAGTTACGTTTTGCGGTGTGAGAATTCGAGCCGTTTTAGAAACGCCATGCCTGAAAAGAGTCGCCATCATTTTCTGCTTATTGACAAACTAAAATATGTGACCCCTTACGTAAATTGACTGGTTGAATGCCGTCAGTGGAGCCGGTGAAACACGATCGTGAAACGTCGGTCGTAGATAGAAGCGGAAGTCTGAAATGTCTGTTCGTTGTGGTTCGGTATTCGACGGATTTAGTATGGCTTGTTATTTCGTTACTGCCGCCATTTTGCAATTACCACTGACGGGTAAAATTATTCGGTAAATTCTGGGGTTTCTAGTGCGGTTTTAAGTTTGTTTGTGACGTGCTGTGCTAGTTTGGTGTAAACTGTGGATTAATCTTCTAAAAATGGATCAAATATGACGCACCCCAGTTTTCAAACTAACGGAGCTAGTTTAGAAGATTGCCACACAAATTTCTTTGCTTTGGTAAGTTAATATGCATATACAGTAACAATTCCCTCATACCTTGAACGCAGTTATTTTATCAGGTGGGTTACCGAATTTCGTTTCATTTTCTTTGACACGTTGGATTGGCATAATGTTCAACTTCAGCAACAATTTGCTTAGAATCATTTGTTTTATTCTACTTTTATATACCAGCAGCATTCAATTCGTTAATAGCCTATTATTAAATCAATCACCATTAATGCTTTGTTGTCTTTGACATTGTTATCAAAACTGACACGATTTTATTTAAAACAAACAGCTACATAACATTGTTTACTTGATAAAAATTCATATACCAGCCCACTACGATTGCGATATTTCTCACTTTCTCTTTCGCAAATCGACTGTAGCGGCTCGAAAATTTTCGAAAACCTTTGTTTTGATCATTCCTTGATCTCAAAATCAATCGAGGACGCATTTCTGCGATTTTCCTTAGTAGTTTTCATTGGAAAAGCTCAGGAACATTGCGGGTGTCCCAGTGTGAACGAACGCAACGCGCTATTGCCAAATTGTGTTTGTAACGGTGTCCAAGGCCTACTATCGTCATTTCATAGACAATCTCAGAACTTTCCTTAGAGGCCTTCTATTTACATTATTTACACTTATTCACATTTACATGTTAGTACACGACCAGATGTGAGTCAGATACTAGAACTAGACAGACATTAGATAGATTTGTGTCTTAGTAAGTGTCTCAGATTTTTTTTGTCAGGAAATAAATGCGTTTTTTCATGTTAATAATCCACGGTTTAAGTTCCGCCGCAGCTGCGGCGGTTTTGTTTCTACTGGTGACGCTTGCCCTAGTTTAATTCGCTCATTTTCACTAATTTAACCATGACTTTCAGTCGTTTAAAATAACCACTTTTAGTAGTACAGGGTGGCCCATTTACTCTTGTAGCAGGGATTTTCTTTGCCTGTTTCTAATTGGGTGCCGCTTAACTTTCAGTCGGTATTTTTGCTCCGTTTTCAGGCTCCAAAAGACACTGGTGATTGTTCGCAATGACGCAATAATTGTCGTACTTTTTCTTGTGTTGCCCACCGAGCTAGACGAAGCTTTGGAGTCTCATCAAATTAATCAAATAAAAGCCGCGTTGTAAATTGCTGTATCAATATTATTGATTTGTTTTCTTGGGAAACGTTTACAGTTTCTGGGAATTTTTCCATGTTATCATTTTCAAAATACGTGTCAAATAATTGTTAATAGGTCTAGAATCAGCGTCTTCGAGATTGTATAAGGTAAACCCTGAGCAATAACTAGTATTCCTGTGATGCCGTTTCATTCATGTTATTTTTATTATTATTTTTTCAATCTATCGATACATTTTCTATTTGTGTCTGTTATTTGCTATTTTCGAGAACCAAAAATGCCTAGGCAGGCCCTGAGGGCGAAAAAGCGGTTCCTTTTGCTCAGATCTTCACCACCATCATTTAGATCTTAGATGAGTTTATAATTTTGATGTCCTCATATTAAGAACACGAGTATAAATGAATAACGAAGCAGGCGAAAGTGTTTTTTTCTAATTTATTGTTTCATTCGGTAAATTTAACATCACTTTTGCAACTCCAAATAATTTAAATGCCATGTTGTCGACTGATTTCGTAAAAAATGAGCCGAATTTTATAGAGATACTAAGAGCGATTGTTTAATTTATCACAAATGAAAAATAAAAATAGTCTATAAACCTTCTCTAAAACCGCGCATTAACAATAATATCTGATCCAGCAATAATTAAATACTAGGTACATAGCAACATACTTCATATATTAAAATATTTCTCCCCGCCAGGGAGAAACGCTCAAACTTGCAACTACTGAATGAGAAATTTTTTCGAACCAATCTGGTACATGAATAAATTTCCATATACCTCCTCAAATAATGACGTCACTGCCAATAGGATTGGTACAGACTGGTTTATTATATAAGTACCATCGCACCATATTTTGTACTGTTTTATTATATTTTTTAATTTTTTACCATTGTTGACTGTATTGTACGTAGTTTATGTTGTAGTATTTTGTTTTGTTTTTTTTACTCGTTTTGTCCATAAAATTTGTGAATTTTTCCGTGGCAATATAGCATATTTTGATTGATTGATTGATTGACCCTTGTTTGCACGGCTTTTAAGTCTGCCCGCTGATCGCAGTAGTACCTACTATTTAAACTGAGGTGGATTCCAAATACTTGAGTAATTTGAAGTAAAAACTTTCTTTAATAGAAAAATGGTACATTAGGCGTTTATCATCTCCTTTTCTGGGACTTCTATACGTATGAAAATACGATTTCATGGTACCTAAAACATGCATTTCCGTTTTTAATCCAACTATGTTATTAACATTGCACGGTGTTTTAAATGGCAAAAAGTTGTATTTTTATGCTATTTTGTCCTTTATTAAAAAAAATAGTAGGTCATCGCACTGCAGTTAATGAAAAAACACATATTTTACAACGATATTGAAGTCAATTTAAATTTACACAAAATACTTTTTCTGAAGATGCAAGTTTTTAAATGGTGGCCCTTTCAAAACGAAAGCACCTAAGAGAATTTATGAATGATTTTTTATTTTCGAAACGGACACATTTTTGGTAACTTAAGTAAACCTTCAAATATGCATTCATTATTTATCCCTCATTTGAAAAGCAAGTTAATGTACTTTATGATTGTAGAGTTTTACAACCTTGAAGCCGGCCCGCCCAAGAATGCGTTTTCCCCGAAATGCGAATAATTCAGTTTATTTTTCAAATTTAATGTTTAAACTTAAATGGAAAAGTGAGAAAGATAGTCAATTTTGTTTCGCTTTCAAACTATCATCCTGTATTTTGTAGTTTTGTTATACCAAATTTTGTAATTTGGTCACTTATTTATATTATTGCTTGAATGTCTAAAATCGTTCAATTACAGTGACCATATCACTTGTAGGTACTTAACTTCGAATGACCAAAGTTCATGCTCATTAGTTACTAGGTAATAATGGGGAAAAGATATTGAAATAAAATAACGATGTATACCTATATTTCAATACAAGCAGAATTTTAAGGCTAAAATTCATCGGTATAATTCGGTTTAGCTTAATTAACCATTTATACTTAGATCAGCGACTCTAAATTTTCGACTCGATATAATCTGAATATAAACATAGAGATTAATGGCTTTTGTTCTTTTTGCTGACAAAGAGGATTCACATTTGTGTGGTATTTCCAATATTAGTTTTCCGTATCCGCAAAGAGCGCCTCATACCAAAATAACGTTTATATAAAATTGTAAAATTATTGTGCCGATTTTCAGTCAATAGATTTCTATCATCATGGCCACTTTTAGAGATTTTACCAACGTGATTTTACAAAATAATGTACCTACCTACTATTGCATTTTTATGAACTAAAGTTTGAAATGTGCTCAATTATCAACATTACCGACCATTTTTCAAAATGTTCTGAAGATAATAACTATCGAGGTAGCAATTCCTTTAATTTCAATGCCTTTATCAACAGTACCTACGTAACTTCGAATTCACTTGTAGCCAAAGTTCATGCTCTACAATCAATAATATTTCGTTTCAAATCGGTTGCTAATCAAATGTGTGTTAAATTTGTTTTTACTGTTTTATCGTGAATGTTGCATTCTATATTTTCGTCTTATCGTTTCAAAAACATTGAAATCTGCTTGGTTGATTAACTGTTATCTTTTGTTGAATCGATTCACGCAACTGATCCGAAGCAATAAATCTCTTCACTGTTGGTATTTAATTGGTTTGAGCTCTCGAATGAATCAGCATTAGTTTTGTTTGTAACCAAAATATTGTTGCCACTGTAGTTTTATATTCAGTTTTAATAAAAAGGATATTTTTACCGGAAAAAATTGTTGCAATTAGTTTTTGATTTATTTCTAATAAATAGAAGCACTGAAAAGAAACAACCAAATAGTTATGATATAACCTCGATTAGTAATTGTTGTCGGTTGTTTTGCAGTAGTCGTTTTTAGAATAGAACTGTCAATACATTACTTTTAATTAGAAATATTAACCAAATTGTAACTTGCCATCTAAATTACCACACTTTTACACGTACTTGGTCTTTTACAGCTAGTGTTCTAGTGGTTTAAAGTTGAGATCTATTGGTTAACTTAGCAAACCTGTTTGAAAGAGAAGAAAGTTATCTCCTTTTTGTATAATTTAAGTATTGAAGCTCTTCAACTGTATATTGTATGATTATTTAAGTGGAAAAAATAAATTTCACCCAAATGCCTTCAAGTGACATATTCTACCTGCTTTGGGACATCGTGTACAGTTTGTTAAGAAGTGTAGTTTAGTTCAGATTCAGATAATCGAGTCCTTTTGCTACCTCTTAGCTCACTGACAGGGAGATCATTGACCTGCTCAAACAAGGTCTAAATGGGATTTTTCACTGTCTTTCTCTCTTTTCTGCGTTGCTTTTAATGGTTGTATCGCTTTTATTTGATACCATGTGCTTAGGCACACCCTATTATGTGGTTTCACCTTCAGGCAGATGTTGGTCTAGAGAAGAAGTTAAATGGGAACGAGACGACTGCGATCGTCAATTCGAGGCTGTTTTTAGAACATGTAGTTCAATATTTTGAAGTTTGCTTGTTTCATATAGACATATCAGCCTTTTAAGAACAATTTTTTGTATAATTATGGCAATCTCAGATCATGATGAAATTCACAACTTTAATTGGATTTGGTTATATTTTGATTTTTACTGGTGAACCTCCATAGAAAACTGAGTTGTTGTGTTACTTCTGTGCTTATACTGTTTTATGTTTTGGACTCTTCTCTTACATATCGGGAAGCATTTTTTAAAGCCTTCAAGCCGATTTCCATCGACCGAGTTTTAGGCGCATGTTTTTCACGTGGTGCGTGCAGCAGCTATTCCATCAGCGCAAATGTTTTAGCCGCAAGCTGTATAATCAATCACATGTTGAAGACAATTTTTTTCCTCTTTAAACACTGAATTTCTTGCC